GATAATGGGACCAAACCACCGCGAGGACGTGAGTAGCAATGGACACGCTGGCGTTGTGGTTGAAGTCTTTAAATCTCTCCCATGCCGTCTTGCATCTCTCGATGACGACGTCCGGGCGCGGCAGCCTGCCGTCGGGTTGAGGAGCCACCTCTGGTTCGATGCAGTCGAGCACCGGTTTGATTCCAACAACTACGACGTCAAACTTGTCCCTCTAGGTCTAGGCGTCCTGCTCCAGCACTTCGAACTGTGCCTTGACCCTCCGACGGTAGTCTGCAAGCATTACAAAGTTCCATCAAGAAAGAAAGTTACTTCAGCAGTAATCCTAACCAGGGAGTACTCACCGTTCAGCTCCTCGGCAATTTTGTTCGCTCACCCCGTCTCCTTCGCTTTCTCCTCTCAGAGTTGCTCGAGGGCCTGGCGCAGCTGGCCGAGCTCCACATCTTGCTCTACAAGCACAACAGTCATCGCCGAAAATAAACATATCCAAATATGCAAAGCGCTTTCGCCGATCACACGTACCTTTCTTCTGCTCGGAGACTTTCTGCAGCTGCTCTAACTGCTCGGAAGCATCATTCAGTTGTGTGGAGACAATGGCCAGCTGCTCGGACTTGCTCTGCAGCTTTTCTTTCGCGGCCGATAGCTGCTCAGACAGGACCACCTTCTGGTGTTCCACGTCCCGTGCGTGGGACTCGGTGAGGTCTCGCTCGCGCCAGGCCCTCTGGGTGTTTCTCTCCGAGAGGTTCATCGCCTCCTTGAGTTTTTGGTTCTCCTCGGTGAGGGGCTCCATCCTCTTTATCAACTGGTGCCGGTGCTCGACAGTCTGAGTTATCCCCTGAAAATGCACAAGGATAATGATGGAATTCGATCTCCAATGTCAAAGACGAGTGTTCAGGATTCAGTACTAACCTCGATTTGTTTTATTACTCTGGTAAGGGCAGATTTTAGCTGCCTCGTCTCCTTGGGGGTGTCCTCCTCCTCGACAACTACTACTTCGTCACCACGCTTGCGGAAGATTCGGATGGATTGGGTTCGAGGCTCAACACGAATGATCTCCACCCCGTCCTCTTCTTCCGCAGCAATTGGAGGCACTACTGGGGGACTCTGTGGCCGGACAGCGGGTCCGACCATGCCCTACGATGTCTCTGGGGGCGCCGTTAGCTCCTCAGGCGCCGTTGGTTTCGTCGGCCCGGACTCTGGTGCGTCGCTGGCAACTCCAGCTTCAGCTCCCGTGGGCTCGATAGTACTCGCCGTTGCTTCAGGTATTGTTGTCGACCGCCTCTCCGCTGACGCCGGCCTCCCGTCATCTGCAAGTCCAGCTGCAGCGGTGATTGACTCTTCCACTGGCTGCTGAGCACCCGGGGACTCCGACACGGGAGCTGCCCTAGGATCTGCCCGAGGTTGCTCGTCAGTCGGGGCGGACGGGTCGGGACCCTCTGTATGCCTTGCACTACATCAGATCATTTGGTCAAGTGGCAAAAAGTTCGATAAGACAAAGAAAGTAACTCCAACACGATGATACTTACTGCTTGGTCTGCTTGTAATTTTTGAATCGCCGATGTTTGCCGTGAGCCACCAGTGCGGATGTGGGATCGATTTCCGTGTTCGGGGTACAGTCTCTCTTTCCTCCACAATCGGCCTCCTCTCCGCTTCTTTGCCTGGGCTTCGACAGCCCGTGGGCTCGGGTTTGCCTCCGCTTTGTTGCTCGGGGCTACTGCTTGGTTGCTCCGCAAGGATTCCCGTCGTCTGCTGTGTGGGAACTTCCTTCGCTCGCTGCTCGGGGGCATCCCTCGTTTGTGGCTCAGGGATTTCTCCGCCTCCACCTGGTTGGTCCTCCATGTGTGTGCTACGCGGAGGTGCCTGCGTGCTTGGGGGTCTGACAATGGGGTCGTCGTCGTCGTCAGACCACTCGAGTATCGCGGTTTGGTCTCCACCAAGCGAGATGCTTTGCCTGATCGAGGAGCGGCAATGCCGTCTTTCTCTTCTTCTTCTGGGCGGCTCGTGCGCGTGCGCCCTCTTCCCCGGGTTTTCTCTGACATCGGGGGAGGACTCTTCGTCGGACCAATATCCACACCTCTGGACTCCGAAGAGGCGCCGATGGAACTTCCTTCAGGCTGAGCCGGTGGTCGTGCATCTACCGCTGGTGGCCAATCGCCTCTCGGCACGTCCGAGAAGTACACTGCCCTATCTCTGCGAGTGGATCTTCGAATGAGTCACCAATCCTCCTTTCGGTAATCAAAGGGATGCAAGGCAACATGAGCAAAGCAAATTGAGATGGTTACCTGAGGAGGCGGGTTAGTACAGTTGAAGGCTTTCGTTTCCTTTGGCCAGCTGAATGAGATGTTGGAGGTGAATAGCTCCCTAGCCCAGTCTATTACTTCTTTCTTCGTTAGCCGTTCTGTGCTTTCCCCGGTCCCGTCGTCGTCACCCCTGTAGTCAAAGCCTGGGTGGGCCCTCTCTTTGCAGGGCTGGACATGGCGCACTATGAAGCTTGCTGCAACCAGTTCACCTCTAAGCTCCAAGCTCTTAATCAAGTCGAGAAGCTCCATCACTTGCTCCATGTCAGCGCTATTGGGTCTCTCCGACCAGCTACTATGGCTCTCTGGGATGTGGTGGATGTCGCATCGGATTATCGGGTGGCTCTGTTTGATGTAGAACCACCTGGCGTTCCATCCTTTCAGAGAAGTATTCAGCGATACATTGATGTACTCGCTGGCCATCCCATCCCTGAGCTGTAGGTACATGCCGCCGACCACCTTGGAACCACTATCGCCTTTCTTCTTCAGCCAGAACAGGTGCCTGAAGAGGTTGAAGTGTGGAAGAATCCCCAGAAACGCCTCACAGAAATGGATAAAGACCGAGACGTGCAGTATGGTGTTGGGGTGCAGATTGCAGAGGCTAATCGCCCAAAACTCCAGTAGATCCCTCAGAAAAGGGTGAACAGGAAACCCCAATCCTCGCCAGAAATAATCCTCAAATACTATAGCTTCATCAGTGTGAGGTGTCGGAAAGGGCTCACCGCTGGCTGGCCGCCATCCGGCGGTGACGCGGTCTGGAAGCACGCCCGCCGCTACCATTCTGTTTAGCTCCGCCTCCCCCATCTTCGACGGCACTCACTCCTCGTCGCGGCTGGCTCCGGTGGCCACTTTCCTCGGCTTTGTGGCTCCCTTTTTCGACGCCATTCTCTCAAGTTTGGATTAAGATTGGAGGGGAATGCGCGCGTCGGTGCGGATTGGGAAGCGCAAGGGATGAGAAGGAAGATGACAAGGCGAAATGGCAAAGGTGGGCGGCGTGGGGTGCGGCGGCGCAATTATAAAGCACACCCGTCAACTGTTTCCCAATCGAGGGTTTTTGGGGAACCGTTTCCGCAATCTGCGCTCCTCCGAATTCTCCGACGCGGTATATGGGTCGTTACCTGGGCTTCCACGCAACCCCAGCCCACGTCGTTCATTAATTGCCGCTGCCAGTTGTTATCCGCCGAATAATCGCCGACTTCTCTGCCATTTGTTGAGGTTCAATGGCAGTTACTGTACAGCCATTACTCCTGTTTTTTCGCCACGGTTTGTTTACTTCGATATCTCCGCTTGCAACTCGGGGACTGGCTGCCTGCTCGGTTGGTCTTTCATTATTTCTTTGTTTCTAACCCTGGCACCACATGACTACGTCATCTACTGTCAGGCTCGGGGACTAAGTGGGCACACTTCACCTTGCGGTGAATGTGCTTTATCTTGTTTTGGGGCTACGCCCGGGGACTGGCTGCCTGCTCGGCTGGTCTTCTGTTATTTTTTTTACTTTGGACCCTGGCACCACATGACTACGTCATCTACTGTCAGGTTCGGGGACTAAGTGGGCACACTTCACCTCGCGGTGAATGTGCTTATTTTTTCTAGAAGACTCCGTGCCTCTTGAAGCCGAAGAAGATAATCTCCTTTCCTCGTGGTTGGACTCTAAGTGGGCACACTTGGTCCACTGTAAAGAAATTTTCAATTCTGGACTTGAGCTCCTTACACCCTTATGGCAAGCCGTACTTGGGATACGTTGCTCGGCTGCGGTTCACGTTGCTCCTTGCACCATCAAGAAGATTGTTGTAAAACACGTCAGGAACATGGCCCAATTGTGTCACTACACTCTTGTCAGTGACAACCACCCTCCTTTGTTTGATATCGGGTTTCTTCTTTTCGATAACACTTCTTTCAGCTTGTAAAGCAACAACCATAGCCATTCCTGCAAACCACAACCAATTTGTTCAGACCCATGTCAGGTTGATTGACAAACAAATAGCAACCTGAAGAGGTCTGAACAAACATGCACAATGGACAAAACTGAAGAAATCATTTGCTTGATGCAAGATGGAGCATGACATATGTGACTCTTAACGCTTGATTTATTTTTAGCTTTTTGGAGTATTTTATATTAGCAATGAGAAATAACCATTATATCCCGATTCTCAAGTCAAACTGAAAGAAAATGATGTCGAGGACAACAGTTCACAAGTAGCCACAAGCGAATGCATCCCAAGCAGAAGCAGGCAACCAAAAACCCACACACCTCATCCCTTTGTTCAGCAGTTCCTCCCAGAAGTCACGGTTCCTACAGATGTAAGTGTGAAAAGGGTTGTCTCAGCAAATGCATAAACAAAGAAAAAATATAATCATCCACTCGAAACCACACAGGAAGATCTTGTTTTGACAATACTAAAAGTTCAGTTGATAATCAGATTAGAGTCTAGTTTCCTGAGTTCAAACTCCAGTATGATCAAAGTCGGCTTGCTTCGAGCAACAATGCCATTCCAGCATGATTGAAAAGGTAAAAAACTGAAACCACCTGACCGGCAACAGGAAAAATCGACAAAACATGTGGATGCTCACTTGAAACGGATCTATTGCCAGACAAGCAATAGATAAGCACTCGTTCGCATATCTTCTTGTATCTAGGCATGAATCGATATGTCAGTGTAATAACCCTCATAAGTAAAAGGTACAACAAGAAACAATATGCATATATCACTGACTATTGAAGGATATATCCATGTAATCCATCTATCACCAAGGCAATAACAGAGCTGTTTATTTGTGTTTCATACCTGGATGGATGGTGATGGAGGATATGGGGCATTCACATCTTTGTCTAACTTAGAATCCATCAGTTCTGAACATTTTGATCTCTTTAAAAGTCGGACGTCTACATTTTCAACAATGTATGATTTAATATTGGAAGAATCCATATTCTGCAAAACCAACAAAAGCTAAAATTAGTACAATGTAAAACCAAGAAATAATGCAATATAGTACTAAGCTTCAAAAAAAAATAACAACTCCAATCTGAATAGAGAGAACACACATGATTTAGCTTATAACAAAAATTTGGACTTCTAGATTAACAATCCATCACTGAAATACATCTAAGGTAACAAAAGATCAGTATGTGTGTGTGTGTGTATATATATATATATATATATATATATATATATATATATATATATATATATATATCTCTCTTCAATGACATAGAACACATAAGAGTCAAACGAACAGCCCAGAAATTAAAGATTTGCGTTAAAAGCTGTATGCCCTACCATGCCAAGCACAGAGCATCTCTCCTCCTTTGCCGTCCTCACCCTCGAGTGGCTGGAGCGTGACCTCACCCGCCGCCCCCTTCCCCATCGCCGCCGCCACAAGTCGCGAACTCATGAGATGGGTGGCTGGCTCACCAGCTGCAGACGCCCAGCGCCTGCCACCACCAGCCACTGACTGCCGCCGGACGTCCTCCGCTGCTCAGCGTAGGGCAAGAGGGCCTGCGCGCCGCTGCCGGCTGCCTGGCTCATGGAGGCGCGTGAAGCGCGCCCGCTCAGCGCGCAGGCCACCGCCCACCGTGACGATCGACGGACACCCTCCGACTCCGGCGCCGTGCAAGGGAGAGAGACAGGGGAGGGAGGGAGAAGGAGCGGGCCGGGGGAGGGAGAGTTGGCTTTTCCAGACAATCCTCGTCCCACGCGAGGGAGAGGGCATGAAGTAGGGAAGGGCCAAAAGCCATCGAATGGGACCGTTGGGCTGATGAATGGGCCAGACGAAAATAGACCCAGACCAAAAAAGAGGCTGAAATTTTATATTTTTATTATTAAGTATAGATTGAGTATCGCTGATCTAGAATTGAATTCGCAAACTGTTGATAGACGTGGCCAAATAAACAAGTCACCTTGTCAATGGCCTCCTGAATCCAATCGGTCAACAGACAACCTACTAGCTAGTAAACTGAAACATCTAGGTGCCGGCGAAAACAAGAAAATCAAAGGAAAATGACACTCGTTAGAAAAGGAGTAGAATCAATTGCCGCAAGTGGCTGGAACTGGAAGGCCGCCATTGTCACTTGATTCTACTCGAGCTCGAGCCCGATTTGACCTCGCGTTTGGCTTCGGCTTTGGCGTCCGCTCGCGGCCGGCCCGCCGCCGCCTCAGTTGGCAGTTGCGTCGCGGCCTCGTTCGTGTCGGTCGCTGTCGGCTGTCGCCATCTTTTACTTACCAGTTGCGTCGCGGTCGCGGCCTGACACGGTGGCGCCTGCTTCCTCCGCGGCAGCACACGCAACCCAACCATCAGAACGGGACCATTGGCTGACGTGGAATGCGCATGACGTCACCCCGGAGTATGCAGCGTCTTTGCCCCTTCAATCTGGGCCCAGACGGGCTACTGTAAGTTCTAACCATAGGCCCAGGAAAAGAGAGCCGTGGTCCGTGGTCATGTTCCGGGCTGCCGTTGGGGACTGGGCCCGTGGCCTTGCTACGTCTCAAAGCCGGCTCGATCCCTTGCTGGCCCGCCTCTGCTCAGATCGGCTCGGACAGAACAGAAGAGCACAGCTGCCCTATCCAGGACCACGGACAGGAACGCGCAGGACACGAGTAGCAGCAGACCACGAGTATAGTACTGTATTAATCTAACAGATTCGTTCAGTTCAGTACCATTTCCTTTTCCTTACGCACATAGCTGCATTTCCTTTTCCTTACACACATAGGTACATTCACAAACAGGTACAAAAAATACCATGTTCAGTCGAGTGGCATCTCCTTACACACATAGCTGCATTTGATTGATCAAATACTAAAGAGCAGTCCAAGCGCGGTGGCTCAGCTTTTGGTACGTGCCTTGTCAGCTTAGCTAGGCTCGACTGAAAAAGGGAACGCTCTGACTCGCAGATAGGATAGAGAAGATAAAGACCACATAGATTGTGAGTAAGAAAACAACATGTTGAGAGGGCAAAGAGAGTTTTTTTTTTAAATTTGGAGAAAACTAATGCAAAGAGAGTTTTTTTTTGGAAACTAGGGCAAAGAGAGTTGTGGGGACAGGAGCAGTATACTTTAGTTGGGTGCATAGCAGCAGCTCAAAGCTTTCAATTTCTGTTTAGACATCTATACTTTTCAATAAAAATTACTTATTTTCTGCATTGGTCATACTCTAGTATACAGTATTTGTAAACTTGTACTATTGTCCTACGTGGACAATATATATAGGGCGTGGCTAGCGCCTGGACGTTCGGACGCTAGGACCTGTCCGAATGCACCTACACTCCGCATACCGTCTGATCCCGCAAGGTGTCCGCGCCCCCACCCAACCCCACATGGCGTCTATGCTCCGCACGACTACTCGCGCTTTCCAGCAGCTGTAGCAGGTTGCAACATGTGCAAAACACCCGATATACTTTTGAAACATCTAGATGCAGATGAAGGCAGATGAAACACTTGAAACATGCGCCTGAAACACTCGAAAAACACATAAAAAGACACTTAAAAACCATTGTAAAACATATGTATGAAACATATGCAACATCTACATAACACAATTGCAACATGCGTCTAAAAAACAGATAAAACAATTGGAAACAGACGTTTACAACGTATGGGTACAACCATTGCAACATATGCAGCATCCATACGAAACGCTTGTAACATACGCAACTCGAGTGACAGAACGGGACCACTGGCTGACGTGGAATGCACTTGACCTCGAGGCAGCAGTTCGCTGGCAGTTTGGTCGACTGCGGCCTGCTTTCGAAGTTCCGGGGAACGCGAGCTGTCTGTGGTCCGCGGGCTGCCGTTGGGGACTGGGCCGGCCGGTGCCCTTGCCGCGTCTCCAAGCCCGCTCGATCCCTCTTGCTGACCCGCCTCTGCTCAGGTCGGCTCGGACATGAACTGAACAGCACAGCTACACTGGCCATGACCAATTGACCACGGACATGAACGCGGAGTACACAAGAGTAGCAGACCACAGGTAAATATGCCCTATAGTACTAGTATTATCCAATAGATGTTCAGTTCAGTACCATTTCCTTTTCCTTGTACAAATCTAGGACCTTCACAAATAGGTGCTCAAAGTACGATGTTCAGTCGAGCAGCATCTCCTTGCATTGCACACATGACTGCATTTGATCAAATACTAAGAGCAGCACAAACGCGGTGGCCTTGGTACGTGCCTTATCAGGTTCGCTAGGCTCGGGTGAAAAAGTGAATGCTCTGTATGTGATGGTAGCACTTGCAGAAAGACACAAATTGCCTTAGGGCTCAGGAGAGAAAAGATGAAATTTTGAATAAGAAAACGACATGTTGAGAGGACAAAGAGAGTTGTGGGGATAGGAGGAGTATATATACTTTAGTTGGGTGCATAGCAGCTCAAAGATTTCAATTCCTATTTAGACATCTATACTTTTGAATGAAATTATATGTCTGCATTGGCTATACTCTCTAATACACAGTGTTGTAAACTTGGACTATTTGTCTTACGTCGACAACACAGCTTCATTTATTTTCATTTAGAAGCCCAATTAGCATTGAGCCCCACCACACGATACGTACGCAGGCCAGAACGGCCACTTCTTGTCAGTTTCACATGCCGCAGGTGAACGAGATGCTCGGCCCGCTTATGCTGAAATGTGGTCGGCGAGGAGGACCTGCAGTTCACCACCGTGTCCCTCACAAACGCGGCAAGCTTTTCTTCCTGCGATGGTGAGCCGATCGAACAGACTTGTAATGCGTCGATTAGTAATCTAAGTGTTGGATTTGAAAGAAGAAAAAACTAATCTAATGTATGGATTTTGAAAGGCTAATTAATTAATTGATGGGATGCCTCGTAGAGATGATTATGGAAACTGGTCTCCTCAGAACGTCACTAGAGCAAGAAGTTGATGGACCAAGAATAACCAATGATGTCGCTCTATAGTTCTAGATAATATGTGAAAAATAATTAGACGGCTTAATTTATCCTTAGGATCAGCGTCACCATATCCCTTCCTGATCGTACGGATTGGCAACAACAATTCCATCCCATTGATTAGCGAAGTGTTTATTAGTTTGAGGAGTCACTCAATACGAGATGAGGTGGCACATCATGAGTTTATTCCTCAAATTTGATGAAATGATTCTATTCTTTATATATACTGGTACTACTGCTTATTAGCTTGTCAAGAATGTGTGGTGACGATGGAATCGACCTATTCCATTTTACAAACAAAATAAACAAACGAGGAGTTACAAAATGATAGTCTATCTCATTCCTCGAACCAAGCACCATTTGCTACTCATGTGTGAGACATGGAAAGCAACCAATTACGTATGTGGAAAGGAACCAATTACGTATGTGTGTAATGTAAGCTACCGTGATTCCCCTGTACGCTTGTGATCCAGTTGCCAATGACAAATTATTTGAGATGCTGGGGCAATGGGATCAATAACAATGACAAATATGATCGCATTAACCAGAAATTACAATTTGTTATTATCACGACATGAACACAATACGTACGTGTGCAAATAGAATTATCACAGTTTGGTTTTGACTTGCTATCAAACATCTCATATAATTTTTCAAGACTTTTTACCATCTCGATGTAATGCTCTTGAAAATTAATAAAATCTTCCTTTGTCATTTTTTTTATTCTTCCTGTTACAATATACGAACTATCATCATCTAGTGATATTAAACCTCAAAAGTGATGGACGGAAGATATTGCTAAACATTTATTCAGAGGTGCAAGGTCCTTTACGAACTTGAAGCAGGGCGCCAACGTTTGCTCGTTCGATTCGTCAATTTGAGGAAGATAGGCAAAGATAAGATATATAGAAAAAGAAAATTGAGTAGTGGCGAAGGAGTTGCATGATTGCGTTTGGGTGAAGCATTTATCTCTGATTTTTTTTTCCTTGCTTGCGCCGACAAAGTCTCGGTCAACTACATGTTTGGTCTATGGAGTATACCAGAGAACCTTCGGTCGGTCATCCTAAGGCCTAAGCTACAACTATATATGAAAAAAACCAGAGGAACGTCGGTCTCTGATATATATATATATATATATATATATATATATATATATATATATATATATATATATATATATATATATATATATATATATATATATATATATATATTATATGTTCTCGTTTTTTTGCCGGAGAAAAACCCATGCCGACGTCAATATTCAATACTCTGAAAATGATTTACACGGCACCGATTTCTCATTTCCCATCCCTTGTGACTCTAAGTAAAAAGGAACAAATAGATTTCCAGTGCTCATGAACAGGGGGCAAAATTAGAACTTGATATAAAGTCTGGTTTCATGACAAATTAGAACTTAAAGCGTTCATTATTGTACAAATCTCTAAACCTCTCGTGACTATACGAGTTAGAGAAGCACACGACAACTACGATACGAAGTCTCGCTCCAAGGAAAATTGAAATGCATCATGCGATCAATAAATATCTAAAGTCATATGTCGTTCAAGTGACCACATAATAAGTTGTACTGACACATTGTAACATACAGACATAATGGATTGTTTCTTCG